TTAGATATTTTATTATAAAAAATATAAAGTTACCATTTTAACATTTAAAATTAGTCAAAATTATTGTCAATGTCAATTATCTGGTCAACTAATGGACAAACTAACAGTTTTAATCCATTTGGACTTCAAGTGAGAGTTTTTTTATAAGGTTTGGTATCGTGGATGCAACAAGATAAAAGTTTGGGCAAGTCTGCATAAAAGTAAAAGATTTGATATCGTGGCTGCAATTTTCCCTGAGGCTATGTTTGATTGGTTCAAATTCCATGGAAAATGGAATTTTAATTCCACTTTCTTTCAATTTTGTTTATTTGATATGTTTTGAATTCTATGGAATTTGATTTCTTGATTTTCTTGGAACTTGAAATTTTTTTGATTTTCCTTGAAAACCAATTCCCATCGATATGGTGGGATTGGTGGAAATTGGTTTTTTAGTTCCCTATTACATGTTTTTTTTTTGTAATGGAAACAAATTCTAAGAAATATTGTATAAAAATATTTCATTTTAATTAGCAATTTCGATGTAAACCAAAGTCAAACGAGCACCGAAAGATAGATGATTTTCTTGATGTTTTTATTTTTTATTTTTTTGTTGGCAATGAAAACAAATTTCATTTCCAATACCAGTAAAATCTAAGAAAAATTGCAGCTAAGGTACCAAACCTTTTGTTTATTAATAGACTTTACCCAAACCTTTAGTTTGTGCCATCGGGGGTACCAAACCTTCAAAAAATGCACACCCGGAGTCCAAATTGACAGAAACCGTTAGTTTGACCATCAAAACCGTTAGTTGACTCCAAGATTGACATTGACGAAAATTTTAACTGATTTTTAAAGGGTCAAATATGTAACTTTATATTTTTCATTTAAAAAATTAAAATAAAAGAAATATACTTCATCTTCTCAACTTCACCCTACAAACACCCACCCCAAAACCAAAAATCAGGAACCACTCACTTTCCTACCTGCCAGCCAACCGCCCAATGCTACCGCTTCAACGCCAATCGACCGCCCAACGCCATACACATTGATGCACTGCCTTGTGCAGCCTTGTTATTTTCGCCCATCACCTCAAACAACGGCTTGATAAATAGCGATGCCACCCCATCACTCCCTCCTCCACCTTTGAAGTGCAGTGCAGACAGTGAGCCAACTGTATCGCAACAGGCCTCACTAACTTGGGAATCTGAATCCTTCAACCTCTTAACAATGTGAGCAATGATTTTAGTCAAATGGGTCACAGCTGAATCAATACGAACAGTGCAGAGTACAGTAAGAAGTCGAATGATCTCTTTCTTTACTGTAGGCTTCGGGTCATACATGGCATCGTATAGGCAATTGAGTAGCATTGAAACCCCATCATCGGACAGGGCTTGAATAATCTTCTCGAGGTCCTCTACAGCGATCTGGTAAGTATCCCGATCGACCAATTTCAAAAGCACAGTAAGGATTCTCTGCTTCAATTCAATCATTGCCAAATGGGACGATAAAGAAGATGAAGATGAAGCAGAAGATGATCTTGGAGGGCTCGACTGGTTGGAAGGATTTGAGGGTTTTGAAGATCTTTGGGAGCTCATTTTGAATGAAAATTTTGGTCACAATCGCATCTTCAATCATCTGAAATATAAATTTCAGCCAAAAATAAAGGAAAAAAATCAGATCTAAAATTCATAAAAACGAAAATTCCAAATTCATAAAATTGGATTTGGCTCTGGGATTGAAGAAGAAGGGAAGGGTGGCACAAATTCTCGTAATGACTGGAGGTTGAGACGGTGGTGTTGGCTGTGGTGGTGGACGGTGACGGTGGTGGTTTTTGGGGCTCTGGGATTGGGGAAGAAGGGAAGGGTGGTGGGTGGTTTTATATTTTGATTTTTGATTTTTTTTAATTTAATTATTAATATATATTATAATTGTCTTTTTTTGTTAAAAAATGTGAAGTTACAATTTTAACCTTCAAAAATCAGTCAAAATTTTGGTCAATGTCAATTTTGAGGTCAACTAACAGTTTTGATGATCAAACTAACGGTTTCTGTCAATTTGGACTTCGGGTGTGCATTTTTTGAAGGTTTGGTACCTACGGTGGCACAAACTAAAGGTTTGGACAAAGTCTGCTAATAAACGAAAGATTTGGTACCTCAGATGCAATTTTTCCTAAAATCTATTTATTTAATTGACAATTTTTATATAAAACAAAGCCAAACGAACACCAAAAAATACATTTATTTTAATATTTTCCACGTGGAAAGTTATACCAATCAAACACAATAATTTACAATTCCTAGAAAAACAATTTTTATACAATTCAATTCCCTAGAATTCGTTTTCAATTCAATTCAATTCCATTTTTATAATCAAACGGACCCTAATATTTATTCGAAACAAACTCTTCTTGACATGATTACTTAAACCATTATTTAAAAAAAAAAAAAGATTTTAGAAAACTACAACAATCTAGGTAATTAGTAAAAATAAAAGATAATACCGAAAATTAAAATAATTAATATTTAGATACAATCCAAATTAAATAGAATTAAAAAATAAATTTATTTTATGAAAATTTACTAACTGAAAGATAAAAATCTCAATGTTCATAAAAAATCTGAAAACCAAAGCCTAGTAGTTGGGGTTGTTAAATGCCTTCGTATTTATCCTTTGCTTTTATTTAAAAAAAGGACCGAAAAAGTTGAGTTGAAACTCGTTGTATCGTTGTATCGAGTAGTTGGATTATAGTCTCTTACCATAAAAATGGCTGCATGCGTAGTAGCACCAACTATGAGAAATCCACCAATCCACATGTGATGTGTAAATAAAAAAGGATCGAAAAAGTTGAGTTGAAACTCGTAAATACTTCGTTTTACTATTTCTATTATGTTCTTCGTACTTTACCTAGTTTTCTCCACTTCAAAATTAATTCAAAAATTAGAGAAGTTAACAAAGTGAAGAGCCTTAGCGCCATCTATTAGCTGGAACTTCTTGCATCAAATTTAGCCACGTGATCCCTGAAATTCCATTGCTTCTGTATTCGATATTCAAACTCTTACGTAACTCTCTAACCAGTCTAATACGATTGCAGCATTTCTCAAATAATATATATTAATTTAGCTCCTATATTTTGCAATTAATTCAATTGGAGACCCAATCTCTAGTTTAAGATCGTGAAACTCACTATTCTCCTTACAATACCTGACAATATGGTTTCTTTAAAAGTTTCTATATTTTTCATTTAAGTCCTTTACCTTCTCAAAAAACAAAAAGAAGAACAATACTTGATTTAAAATGGTTTTATTAAAGCCTCCTCTCCAATAAAATTTAGCATTGCCACTCGAGAAGGTAATAATAACGAGTGTGACATATTTACCGTCTCTCATATCTCAAACTAAAAGCATTTTTTAAGAGATCGTATGTAACCATGTCATGTATATGACTAGTACTAGTGCCAGTCTTGTAGAAAAGTAAGAGCAAGGCTTGTTTATTGATTCAACAAAACAATTTAAAATTCTCGAGAAAAAGCGTTAAGAAAAGTTGCAAATGGGAAGCAACAAATTACTAATAGTATCCTAGTTGAAATTTATCTTATTTAGCAACAAATTCAGCGAACTAGTTTATCGTGTTCAAAGTCAAGCTTAACAATATATTAATACTTAATAAACTTTTTTCTTTAAATGAAATTTAACGAATTTCAAATGAACCAAAATCGATATGAGTTTCAACTCTTAATAACTCGAGATTTAGCATTCAACTTTGTAATTCATTTATACTTTCTTTTATTAAGGTCATGTTTGAGTGACATTCTTTGAAAAAAAAAATACATTCTTAAATAGTGATTTGATATCATTTCAACACACATTCTTCAATGAAATAATATTACACGCAAATCCAAAATTTTTCCTTATTTTTTAACCACTTATTTCCTATCAATACACCATTCAAAAATGCATTCTCATGTAAATAAGGGCTAAGATTTTTAGATTTACATATTCAAATTTTATTTTTATGGTAGGAAGTTCATAATTTTTGAAGTCAAATTGTTCATATCAATTCACATACACACACACGCACGCGCGCGCACACACACATATATATATATGTACTTCTCATTTATCTTAATAAAAAAAAATAGATGAGGGTATGATTATTCTTTTACAGAAAGATGGGTTCTTAATTGTTCAGTGAGGACTCAAGTGATGCGAAATAGAAAGATTAAATATTTAAATGTTCATTATTGAAGATTGGAGATCCTAATTCTATACTAGTATAACATGGGGGACCTATGTTGATTTTTTCCTATTTTATTTCTTAATTTCTTTTTCATCCTAACTACGGAGAAAAATAGGCAAATGATAGAAATAGTATTAGGCCAAATTGAAATGGCTTTTACTTCCCGTAAAAGAAATTTTGGAGGAAGTTTCTTTAATTTTAATTTAAAAACTAATTTTTTTGCTTTCAGAGGAAGCGCCAATGGATCAACTTTTTTTGAAAGTTCTTCTAATTATCGAAAACACTTTCATAAAATTAGCCAAATGAATTCAAAAGCTTTTGGCCTTTTCTAAAGGGGAAAATTGCAGCAATAGTATTTGATCTTTTCATTTTTTGCAGACTTTATTCTAACCTTCATTTTGAACTAACAAGGTTCCTAAATTTTTATAAATATGAACATGAGGTCCATCTGGACGAAAACTATCTAAAATATCGTTACTTGATTGGAAAAATTAAAGAATCAACGTCCTAAAACATCGACCAAAAAAGTAACAACATCTAATAAAGTCGTCGTGGTAGTAGATAGTTCAAGGATTTTCCCGATCAATTGATAGTGTTTTGGATGTCCATCCAGATGGGCCTCAGGAATATGTTTATAAAAGGTTAGGAATATTTTTTGACACAAAATGAAAATTAGGGTTAAGTCTGCAAAAAAAATGAAAAGATTATTGATCGCTGCTGCAATTTTCCCTTTCAAAAGTGATGCGAACGGTCCTTGTTACCGTTTCGTTGGTGAAAGAACTGTTCAACAGCATTATTTCCCGGGTGAAAAATACAATTTCCTCTCGCGAGTCTCTATCTTCCTTTTTGTTTATTCCCATTCTCCAGATTTCCCTTTTCAAATTAGGGTTAGAATTCTCTGATTGTGACAGTTTATTAGAGAAAGCAATAAGTACATATATTTACATATACTGAATTAGTATCGTTATATCATTAGCTCTTATGAAGAAGATCTGAAAACACGGGCAGAAAAGGGGAATTTGCGTACAATGAGTGCTTCCAGATTCATAAAGTGTGTCACTGTGGGCGATGGTGCAGTTGGCAAGACCTGTCTCTTGATTTCCTATACCAGTAATACCTTTCCAACGGTCTGTCCCTTTTTTTTTTTCCTTCTTGTGGTTCTATTTCTTTATTCTTAGGATGTATTTTATTACTGGAATATTGAAATTAATTTCAAAGTTTTGATTTTTTGATGGAAGGCTGCAAAGGATAAATGTATATTTATCTTGAGGATATTACAATATTTGAGTTTTTGTTTAGTAAGTCAGTTTCTGAATTTATCGCCACAAAAAGTCACGGAAAATGCGCGCACACATGTAAAACCTGTTCCTGTGATTTATCGTTAAATCCCTCTTATATTTAAGATTTTGATTCTCTATTTTTTATTTTTTTGGAGAATTCGTGTTCCCTTGTCCTGTATAATCATTTTTGCAATACAAATTCTGAAAGGATGGATAGATTTTCTTTTTCATTTTTTTTTTTAGTGTCTGTTTTCACTTCAATTTAATTCATTCCATTACAGGATTTTATTGTATGGTTAGGCTGCATAGAATATCCAAATGAAGAGAGTTTTCATCTAATCCAAATATTTACAGTAGAATTTTTATCACACACATAGTAAGAATTAGGTGGAGACTTGTTGTTTCTGATATATGCCGTTGTATCATTTTGAACCCGTTATTTATAATTTAATTTGCATTTGATGCATTTGGATGCAATTTGTTCTTTTATTTCTCAAATTGATTACCTGTTTTATTGTTTTCCTTTTCCCTTATCAAATGAATCAGGACTATGTGCCTACTGTGTTTGATAATTTCAGTGCGAATGTGGTGGTCAATGGAGCCACTGTTAATCTAGGCTTGTGGGATACTGCTGGTAAACACTAGGAAAATCTTTCACGATATTAGTATTTTTGATGCTTTACACACAAAAAACACCCAGATGTGCATGAATTTCTATATTGGTTTTTGGAACAGGGCAGGAGGACTATAATAGATTAAGACCTTTGAGCTATCGCGGAGCTGATGTTTTCATTTTGGCATTTTCTCTCATTAGCAAAGCCAGCTATGAAAATGTTTCCAAAAAGGTGTGACTTTGATGAATCGAAACAATGTTACACATTGGACTTTCTAGGATTACCTACAGTATTCTTTTGGCTTGATAAATTATTTCTGCTTTGGCTCATTTTCCCAGTGGATCCCTGAATTGAAGCATTATGCCCCTGGTGTTCCTATAGTTCTTGTTGGCACAAAACTTGGTGAGATATTTGATTGATTTTTTTATTTTTATTTTTCTCTTGTATACAGTGAGCCGGATTCTTATCCATGATGTGAATATGAGAATGCTTCAGCATATCATATTTTTACAATACTGATGTTACACATTTTTTTATGGTGAAAATCAGATTCACTGAACATCTAAAACGACAAAACAACAAAATGAATAATAGGAGAAATTTGAACGAATGGAATAAAAGCTAATCTTCTCACCCTATCTACTAAAGTTTCATGGTGCAAATAATACCTCCTTGCTACTTTTTAATAAAATATCTATTGATCACAATATGCTTTCTTTGGTCAAGCTGAGCAGGGTTATGACTTATGAGCAATACAACGGTGGCTTTATTTTCCCAATCTAGTTTCATAGGATTTATACTAGCAAAAAGAGTTCCTTTTGCAACTTTTCTAGCCACAAAAGCTTACAAATCTGTAAGCTATGGCACTGACTTCTACTTTGGTAGAAGTTGCAGGGTCTTATTTTTATTTTTTTTTCTCTCTTCTCCACGTAACCATGTGGCCTTCCATGAAGCGCAGTACACTGACGTTAAGTGTCTTTTAGAAATTAAACCTGCCCAATCTGCATTTCTGTAGACTTCGATCTACATGATATACCTTTTATCTGGAATGCATTTCCAATTAATCAAAGTTCTATATGTAGCCTCAAGATGCTCTGTACATAGGGAACACATAAACTGGCTCGCGAAACTTAATGAAAAGGCCAAATCAAGTCGTGTGAGAGACAAAGTAGATTAGTGTGAGAGACAAAGTAGATTAACTTCCCAACTACCTTTGATATCACCCTTCCCCAGTTCTTAAAGTTGATGTGCATGTTCATGATTTGTTAATTAGAAGGTTTGGATGATTTACAATAATCATGGATACAGATCTTCGGGATGACAAGCAGTTTTTCGTCGACCATCCAGGTGCTTTACCAATCACTACAGCTCAGGTGAATAGTGCATAATTCGTTCATTTCATTCAATAACAATAGAGTATTGTTTATATTTATCATATTTTTAGTACCCCTAAGTTGTCAACATTGTACTTCCCTATTACAACTTCCAGGGGGAGGAGTTGAGAAAATTGATTGGCTCGCCTGCTTACATTGAATGTAGTTCCAAATCACAGGAGGTGTGTATCATTTTTTTTCCTGATAACTTTTTGTCAAGATTCTTACTCAAATGCTTCCTTACTGCAGAATGTGAAAGGAGTTTTTGATGCTGCCATTAAAGTTGTGCTCCAGCCACCCAAGCAGAAGAAAAAGAAAGGAATGGCTCAAAAGGCCTGCTCCATATTATGATCAGCAATAGGTGCGAGGATATACAATCTGCCGACCATATTATGAATCCCCTCTCCCTCGTAGAAAATAGGAGGTCTTTTCATCCTTGTTAAAAGGGTTGGTGGCTTTGAATCTCTTAACTGTTCAGTCACGTTGTAGGCTACTTCTGATGAGGACATCATTATAGTTGGACTTTTATTATTGTTTCAGTATTTTAGTTGGACTTTTATTATTGTTTCAGTTGGACTTTTATTTAAGTTTACGTATTTTAGTAGGATTTAAGTAATGGGCTTGGCCCTATATTTCTAGGTTTTTATTATTTAAACCTATCTTGGTTTGTAATTTTGGATTGATGAATTTGATTAAATAAAGAGTTGGTTTGCAGCCGTTCCACCTCTCTTCCCCGCCTCTGTCTTCTTCTTCTCTTCCCTCCCCCCCCCCCCCCCCCCCCCCTCCTTTTTTTT